TTTCCACCCCCATTTGAGCCCAGCCCACCCAAGACCAAGCTCTTACTTCTGCGGAGTCTTAATGACCAGGTGAACAGTGAGCCCATCTTTGATCCCATGTTGATTCAACGTGTCTCCATCCTTCAGGATCTTCCCAGCAAAGATCAGAACCAGCTGATCCTGTTTGGCTTTAAACCGTCTAGAAATCTCTTCTTTGAACTGAAAAACAAACAGCATTTTTCAGGCAAAGGATTGGTACCAGTACCATAAAGCTCCAGGGCTCACATCCACTCTGGGAGCAGCCCAAGGAACTGACCAGCCCTCAGAGCCCATGAAGGTACCACACAGTCACCAGGTGCTGGTGATGTCTGAGGTGTTCATGAAAACCAAAACAAAGCAAAGACAAGCTCTGAAATCACAAACTATGGGGTAAATCTCATAAAAAACAGAGCCATTCCCTCAGAAGGGCTGAAGACTTCCAAAGCCAGACCAGTGGTGCTTCAGGCCTAACCCAAACACACCATTTATGCTGAATGACTGAACTGGTTTCATCTGCTCATTTGAGGTTTTTTTTCCTAAGGAAAGCCAATCTCTGATTTAATACAGGACAGAGCTCTATGGAAAAGGCAATAATCCTTTATCAGCCAATGGAAATAAACTAGGTCTTCTCCAATTCCTATTTCTGCAACTGAATTCCCTGTGAGCATGCCACAGAGCATGGACACCTCTTCCTTACTGAGTGCTGTGCTGGGATTTACACCTACAAGCAAGACTCACTGCTGGCCCCGCTGGGCCATCCCCAGATTGATTTGGAGGAAATAAAGCCTTGCACTTGGAAAACACAAACTAAAGAGAATTCAGAGGGGAAGGCCAGGATGGAGAGTGAACACACACAGGTTCCAGAGCTCTCAGCCTTCACAGCAAAACTCTAAAATCAAGGCTGGGCACAGCACAGCCCGACCCCAGATCACCCTGTCTGCCTTTCCCCGCACAGCTCCGTGTCCCCCCTGCACAAAGCCCTCACAAAACACCCCCTTACCAAGGGGCTCCCCACGAGGGAAAGGATCAGGAGGACCGCACGTGCACAGCCCCTGCCCACGCCATGAACTGCTGCCCAGAGATCCCTGCCAGGCCCTTCACACGCCGAGCTCGTGCCCTACGGCCGACCAAAGCGCGCAGCCAGCCCAACGCAGAGCCCATGACACCTTGTCCCAGTGGGCATCGCCACTTCCTCAACGCCAGGACCAGCCCTAGAGCCCGCCCCTGCCGATCCCAGCCTTTGCCAAGCCCAGTTCTCGGCAATCCCAGCCCTCTCCCGCTCCCTAGCAGGTGCAGAGCCCCCCCAGCCCACCCATGGAAGGGCCGAGGTTTCCATTCCTCCACCTCATCCAACACTGGCCCCAAACATCTGCCCGGCTCCTCGCCCCCCGCCCGGGGAATTTGCCTCCAGACAAGTCCAGACGTAGGCCAGGACCCCCAGATGTGCCCCCGGCAGCCCCCACGCGCCTCTGCCCACCACCCCAACACCTTTCCCACCCCTCCGCTCAGGGAACACTCTCCCCCGCAGCCCGGCCCACGGGCCGAGCCCCCAGACCCCACCCCGGTCCTTCACACTCCTCCCACTGCCACCACCCCCAAAGGCGCTCTCCGAGTCCCTCAACTATTGCGGTTTCGACACCTACGACCCCTCCCACAGGTGAGCCCCCCAGACCACCTTCCCGCCCTCGGCACTTTCCCCTCCAAAGGCCTCGAGCACCTGCCCTCCTTCAGATCTCCCCGTTCCCTCCCACCCTGGCTCCAGCAAGGCCCAAAGGCCCGGGCTGCCCCGAAAGGCCCCCGAACCCAGCCCTAGCCCTGATCCGGGTCTCCTTGAGGCCCCCGGACCCTCTGACCGCCCCCCAGCCCAGAGCACCCTTCCCCCGCTCCTCACGCGCGCCCGAAATTCCTCCCCGGCCCCAAACTCAGGTCCCTTCCCAAAAACCCTTCAGCCCACTCCTCGATCCCTCAGTCCCCGCAGACCAGCCGCCGCCGCCCCTCAGCACCCGCGACAGCCCCCCCCAGGCCTCTCCGCCTCCCCGGCCTGCCCCCGCCCCCACCTCGCGCACGGAGGCGCCATCCGCGATGACGATCTCCTCCTTGTCCTTGGGGGTCTTCACGGTTACGCGGATGAGCGCCCCGCCGGGTGCTGCCTGGCCGTCCCCGCCAGACCCGGGGCCGGGGCCGCCGCCACCGCCGCCGCCACTCGGCTCCGCCATCTTCGCCGCCCGCCGCCAGCCCGGGCCACCGCCACCACAGAGAGCCGGGAGCGGCGCCACAGCACCTCCTCGGCCCGAGACAGCGCCTCCCGGCGGCCCGGAGGAACAGTGGCGGCGTGGGGGCGGGGGACAGAGCGGGGCTCGGGCTCACGGGGGCGGGGAGGCGGAACCGGAGCGGAAAGAGGCGGCCAGAGCCTGGGGAGGGTGTGCTGCCCGCAGCGCCCCGCCGGTGCCCCCACCGACCTCCTTTCCCCGGCCCTACCCCCGATCCCCGCGGTCACCGAGGGCCCACGCCTGCCCCGCGCTCCCTTCTGCTGCCGAGGCCCCTCTGGAGTCCCGGCGCCCACGGGGACAGCGGCAGGGCCGGGCGGGACTACAGCCCCCAGAATGCCCCGGGCCCGGCGCGGTCCCGTGACGGCCCCGCCCGGCGCGGCGCCACCCCCGCCCCGCGGTGCCGGCGGCGGCCATGCTGCGGCCCAAGGCCCTGACGCAGGTGCTCAGCCAGGCCAACACCGGCGGCGTCCAGAGCACGCTGTGAGTGCGGGGGGCCGGGCGGGGGGCGGCTTTCCCCGAGCGGGCCCGGCGGGCACCGGGCGCTCCGTGATGCGGGGTGACGCCGCTGCGGGGAGATGCTTTCCCTGCCCGGGAATGTTTCCCTCGTAGCTACCCCGGCGGATACTGCCGCTGTTCCTGCCCCAGGGGATGCTGCCCCTGCCCGGAGATGCTGCCTACCATTCCCCCGTGCCTGCCCCTGCTCTCGCTCCTGCTCCAGACCCTGTCCCTGCTCCTGCCCATGTCCCTGAACCTGCCTCGGCCGTGCTGCGCCTGTCCCTAGCTCAGGGGTGCTGCCTGCCCCAGTCCCTGCAGCGGGGGATGCTCCCTACTTCTGCCCTGGGAATGCTGCCCCTGCCCAAGGATGCTGCCTGCCTTTCCGCAGCCCCTGCTCCTGCTCTTGCCCCTGCCCCTGCCTGGGGATGCTCCTTGCCCTTACCCCTGCTTGGGGATGCTCCTTGCCCTTGTTCCTGTCCCTGCCCCTGGATGCTCCTTGCCCTTGCTCCTGTCCCTGCCCAGGGAAGGCAAGAGGCCGGGCCCTTCCAGGGGCAGGTGTAGGACTGAGACCACGCACCCTGCGTGGTGCTGGGCTCCAGATGGTGCTGGCAGTGTGCACAGTGTGTGGGGCTCCTGATGTCTGGTGCTGGGATGCCTCGTGTGCAGTGCGAGGGCCATGCACAGAGCTGGGGCTGTGCACAGTGTTTGTCCCCAGGCTTGTGCCCAGCCTGTGGCAGGTCCTACTGCTTCAACAGACTGATCCACCACAGCCCTGCACTGCCCTGCTCGGGCCTGGGGCCACTGCAGAGCTTTCTGGCTTTGAAGCCCCCCACCCCCTGCCAAACCCCTGCAGAGTGGCAGTGTCTTGGGAGCAGTGCTTGGGACTGTGGTCGGGGGCTTTGTTCTACCCCTGGTCTTGAAAGGGTGTCTGGTGTTAGAGCCATCAGTTTGCCCCACCATGTCCTTCCAGGCTGCTGAACAACGAGGGCTCCTTGCTTGCCTACTCGGGCTATGGGGACACTGATGCCAGGGTCACCGCGGCCATCGCCAGCAACATCTGGGTGGCCTACGACAAGAACGGGCACCAGGCGTTCAATGAGGACAACCTCAAATTCATCCTCATGGACTGCATGGTATGTGGGGCTGGATCCTGCCCTGCCCTCCCTGGGGACGTGCCTGTGGTGCCAGCACCGTGCTGGGGTCCAGGCCAAGCTGGGGCACAACGGGTGCTGTTTCTCCCTGGGCAGGAGGGGCGAGTGGCCATCACACGGGTGGCAAACCTGCTGCTCTGCATGTACGCCAAGGAGACGGTCGGATTTGGGATGCTGAAAGCCAAGGTAACGGCTGGGGAGTCGGCAGGGCTGCATCCCTGCTTTGGTGTGGAGCAGGGCTGTTTTTATGAGCATTGGGATGGGAGGGCTGGAGGAAGCTGCCATGCCTGGGACGCTCTTTGCACCTTGCAGAGAGTCCTCTGTCCCCTGTGCCTGCCCAAGCACCACGTGACACCTTTTTAAGGTTCTAAACTGAAATATAAATGACAATAAGCAAGCGGGCAGTGGGCACACGTGTTGTAAAACCCACTTGAGCGTGGCTCATGGCATTCTCTGTTTGCAGGCACAGGCACTGGTCCAGTACCTGGAGGAGCCGCTCACGCAGGTGGCCGCATCGTGAGCAGGCAGTGGAGGGTCCCGACAGCATCACCATCACTGCCGTGGGTGGGGCGTGAGTGGCCCCACGGGCATCCCAGAGCTCCAGTGTGGTCTTAAAAATAAGGTGGCAGGAATCCAGAAGCGGGGGGAATAAAAGTACGTTTGATGCTTGTGTCTGTTGTGTCTGTTGTTGGGGGAGCTGAGGGTAACACAGCCGGACTGGGCTTGGAGGTGCCCATTGCCCTGGGGAAGTCAAGAAGTTGCAAGGGGCTGTTGTCAAAGGAGAGGGTTTACAACAGAGCCGAGCCCTGGCACAGCCCTGCTGGTCACACTGGGATAGCTGGGGGTGGTGGGGGCTCCTTCCCATTCTTATTTCCCTGGCTTTCACACGATGGCAGCAGAGGCGAGGGAACATTCTCCTGCCCACGCTGCCCTCGCTCGCTCCCTGCCCACGTTGCCCGTACTGTCGGTGCTGCTCCCGCTGCCCCAGCCTGCTCGTGGTGCCCTCGCTGCCTCCCTGCCCACGTTGCCCGTACTGTCGGTGCTGCTCCCGCTGCCCCAGCCTGCCCGTGTTGCCCTCCGTGTCCTGCCCGTGTTGCCCTCCGTGCCCTGCCCGCGCTGCCCTCGCTCGCTCCCTGCCCACGTTGCCCGTACTGTCGGTGCTGCTCCCGCTGCCCGAGGCCGTCCCGCACTCAGGATCGGGCCCTGGCTCCTCCTCCAGCCGCCCCGTGACGGTCCCAGGGGTGACACTACCTGCCCAACCTGCGCTGCGACACCCAGTCCCACCCCTTGAGTCAAGCGGCCGCGCTGTCGCCAGCTCGGCCTCTCTCGCCGCCGCTGTCCCGGACCCTCCGCTGCCCCGGACCCCCCTCGCTCCCCGGCAGAGAGGAACCTTCGGTCGCTCCGTGCCCTCCCTCGGCGCCTCCGGGAGCCCGGCCCGCCGTCTGCTCGAGGCTTGGCAGCGGGAAGGAGGAAACCCGGGCGGCCCTGCAGGGCAGGCGGCCGGGGCAACATGGGCAGCGCCGAGGAGGACTATAACTTTGTCTTCAAGGGTGAGTCCTGCGCTCTATGTGACACCCCCTTCCCCAAAAGGAGGGGAGCAGAAATCCAGGGGCTGCGGGGAGGGAAGAGGGTGCCCTTTCCCCAGGGCGGCTGTGTCCTGAGCTGGGGCGTTGTTGACAATCCCTGCAGCTGTGATGGGCACCGGGAGCTACGGAGGGTCAGGGGACTGGGGGAGCAGCACAGTCTGCTGATGGCAGTGAGGCCAGCCAGGGCTGGTGAGCAGCAGCGAGGTCCACAGAGACCCGGGGAGATCCACGCTCACCCCAAGGCTGAAGGTGTGCAGTGCCAGGCAAATTGCTGTTATGGGATAAGGGGGCTGTGAAAGCTGGGGCTGAGTGTGAGACAAATGCCACAAGAGCATGTAACCCCCGAGAGCAGTGGGCATTGAAAAGTCACTTTCTGCAGTGACCTGGGCAGTGGCACATGCAGAGGACATGGGGGTCAAAGCTGAGCTGGAGAAATGGAGGCACAGCCTCACACCTCCCATGCTGAGCTCCTTGGGCCCACCTGGTCTCTGCCAGGTACTATTGGCTGGACTCTGCTGGGGCTCAGTGCTCCCTTTGGGCAAGTGGAGACAGACAGGCTGTGCTGTGCCACCTGTCCTGGGTGCCCACTGCAGCAGGGTGACCCAGGGCTCACCAACATCCTTGTCCTGCTGCTGCCCAGAGGCCGGTAGCCATGACCCCCTGACCAGCTCCGGGGTTGCACCAGCCCTAGGGAGCACAGCTGGGCTCCCACGGGGACCATGTTTGCTGAAGGAGTGACCCCACCAGGGGTTAAACCCACACAGCTGCCCAGCCTCTGCCACCAGTCTGGGGTCACCGGACAGCGAGCGATGCCCGTGCAACCAGTGGGATTTCTCCTTCCTTCCACAGTTGTGCTGATCGGGGAGTCTGGGGTGGGAAAAACAAACCTGCTCTCTCGTTTTACCCGCAACGAGTTCAACCACGACAGCCGCACCACCATCGGCGTGGAGTTCTCCACGCGCACCATCCTGGTGGGAGACGCCGCGGTGAAGGCTCAGATCTGGGACACGGCTGGGCTGGAGCGCTACCGCGCCATCACCTCCGCGTAAGGACCTCAAATCCTGCCTCTCCTGGGGCTGGGGTTCAGCCCCATGGGTGAGGATGCTGTAGGGGAGGGGGGATCTGGGGCACGGAATGATGGTGGGGTTCTGGCACAGGTATTACCGGGGGGCTGTGGGTGCCCTGGTCGTGTTTGATATCACCAAGCACCAGACGTACGATGTGGTGGACCGCTGGCTGAAGGAGCTCTACGACCATGCCGAGGCCAGCATCGTTGTCATGCTGGTGGGGAACAAGACTGACCTTGCACAGGCTCGAGAGGTGCCCATGGAGGAGGCAAAAATGTTTGCAGGTACAGGGCTGGGGGCTTGAGAACCTCCCCAGCAGTGTGGACCTGCACCAGTGCAGGCACCTGAACACCTCTAAAGGTGCTCCAGATTGGAGCCATGTCCTCACTGGGGTCTGCATCATCTCAGGGGTCTCCTCTCGTTGCAGACAACAACGGGCTGCTGTTTGTTGAGACCTCTGCGCTGGACTCCACCAATGTTGAGGAAGCATTCGAGACCATCCTGAAGGGTACAGGCACTGGTGCCGTGGTGCAGCAGGTCCCAGGGCATTGCGGGGTCCCTTTCCAAGGATGCAGGGCTGGGCAGATGATGATGTGCAGCACTTCTCTCCCTGTTCCACTTGAGCTATTTAGGGCTAGTTTCATGAGGTCTTTTGGTGTTTCTTTCTGTCTGCTTTGGTTTTCAGCCTTTGTTGCTGGGCGTTTCACTCCCCACACCCGAAGCTTTGTTCTCACGGCCCCTGGGCATCCCTGAAGCCCCAGGGGCTGCTTCTCCCCCGTAATCTCCAGTCTCCTTCCTGTTGTCCTGGGCTCATGACTTGGTGTCTCCAGCATCCTGCCAAACCGGCTGTGGGGACCTGGGGGGCCAGGGATGGTGTCCAAGGGCAGCTCTCCAGGAATGGCAGCCAGCAGCATCCGGGCAGTGAGGTGTGCCATGCCATGCTGAGCCGTGCCATGCCATGCAGTGCTATTCCATGCCATGCTGTGCTGTGCTGTGCTGAGCCAGCCTGGCCCAGTGAGCTGCCAGCCCCAGCACAGGGTGAAGCACTAATCCCAGGTTGGGCAAGAGGAAATGGGCCAAGCACAGGGTGTTCCCCAAGCGCTGCAGGGATGCACGCCTTGTCCCTTGTCACCCCTCAAGTGGGGGGGTAACTCCCTCTGCTGTGTAGAGGTGAAGGAAAGCCACCAGCATGCTGAGGAGTGGGGGCTGCAGGCTCAAAACTGTCCCTGCATCCCCAGGGGGCCTTGGCTGACACACAGACCCCCCCAGCACTTCTTCTTTTGCAGAAATCTTCTACAAAGTGCAGAAGCAGAAGCAGAGGAGCAGCCAAAGCAACACGGTGTCACTTGCAAGTGAGAACCCTGCAAGCACAGCCCCAGCACAGGCAGAGAGGCGCCCGTGCTGCGTGGCCCTCTGAGCACCCCAGGAAGTCCCCAGGGAACCCCACAACCCCGGGACACACCAGTGGCCACCAGCACAAGCTGGTGTCACCCTGCCTGCAGTGCCACCCCTGTCCTGGTGCAATGGGGACCAGCAGCCTGGACAGGGGTCAAATTCTGCCATAAACAGTGAGAAGCACCAGTTCCAGGAGCTCTTCTCTCTCTTGCATTTTTGCTGGGCCCTGATTAGCATCACCACTGTCACGCACCGTTTCAACCCTTCTGGACCTGCAGGGCAAAGTGACCAGGACACCCCCAAAGTACCTCTGGGGAAGAAGCCAGTAGGTTCTGGGCAGGATCATGCCAGCAACACGAGCCTCTCTGATTACCTCTGGCCCTGGGGTTGCTCCTGTAGGGCCACCCTGTGCGGTGCACTGAGGATGAGGCTGACCTACAGGTATCTGTCCCACCCAGGGACTGCTCTAGGGTGTGAAGTGGCAGCACTCAGCCCTCGGCTGTCCCAGCAGGGCCCGGTGCCATGGGGCAGGGAGCAGCTCTGTGTCCAGCACGGGCGTGATGCAATCATTAAAGGACTTGTGAAATGCAGATTTACTGAGCTGGAATTCCTGCGTGTTTGTGGTCAACGCCCTGGGTCCCCACCTTCATAATGTGCTGAAGATCGTGGCTTCCAAAGCAGCCCAGCTGGATGCCACGGCACCCCTGTGCCCCCTCCTACCTCGATGCCATGGCCCCCCATGTACTACCTGCCACCTAAAGCCATGCTCCCCTTGTACTACCTCCCACCTAAAGCCACGCTCCCCTTTACCTCGATGCCATGGCCCCCCTGCGCTACCTCCCACCTAAAGCCATGCTCCCCTTGTGCCCCCTCCCACCTAAAGCCACGCTCCCCTTGTGCACCCTCACACCCTAAAGCCATGCTCCCCCTGTGCCCCCTCCCACCCTAAAGCCACGCTCCCCTTGTGCCCCCTCCCACCCTAAAGCCATGCTCCCCTTGTGCCCCCTCCCCTTGCAGCCTTTCCCAGTTTAGGTCCCCTGTTTGAACTTTATCAGTTCAAAGGATGACGCAGCCTCTGCCGGTTATCTGAAACCTCTCGGAAACGGGATAATTCCTGCTGGATTCTCCGTGTCTCCACTCGCTTTCCCTTGGCACCACGCCCGGCGTGCCAGCCCAGCTCCTTGTCCCACCCACGGCTCCTTTTGGGCGCACTGTCCCCATCGGGAGCACGCACGGGTGGTGGCTGTCCCTGCCCCCCTTACCTGCCTAGGTGAGCACACCTGAGTGTGACGGGCAGCCCCGGCCGCCAATGGGTGCGGAGCAGGAAAGGCTGTGGCCACCAATGGGTGGCGGGGGACAGCCCCGGCCAGGGCTGGGAAAGGCCCGGAAATCCCAGCTGGCCCGGTGGCAGTGGGGCTGCGGGGCTGGGCGACATGCGGGGCAAGGACGATGAGTACGATTATCTCTTCAAAGGTGGGTCTGCTGCCCGGCCAGCGCTGGCCGTGCCCCCGTGAGCGTGCCTGTGCCCGGTGAGCCCGCTGCTGGCACCCCCGGCCTGGGACGGGGGCTGGGGCTGGGGGAGAACACTCAGCTCCCGGGTCATGGGACAGGAGCTGGGGCTTGTACTGGGATAGAACACTCGGCTCCCAGTTCATGGGACAGGAGCTGGGGCTGGGACTGGGATAGCACACTCAGCTCCCAGTTCATGGGACGGGGAACTGGGGCTTGTACTGGGATAGAACACTCAGCTCCCAGTTCATGGGACAGGAGTTGGGGCTTGTACTGGGATAGAACACTCGGCTCCCAGTTCATGGGACGGAGAACTGGGGCTGGGAGGGAACACTCAGCTCCCAGTTCATGGGACAGGAGCTGGGGCTGGGACACAACACTTGGCTCCCAGTTCATGGGACAGGAGCTGGGGCTGGGGCTGGGAGAGAACACTCAGCTCCCGGTTCACGGGACAGGAGGGGGGGCTTGGATTGGGAGAGAACACTCAATTCCCAGTTCACAGCACGGAGAGCTGGGGCTGGGAGAGAACACTCAGCTCCCAGTTCACAGGACAGGAGCTGGGGCTGGGACTGGGATACAACACTCAGCTCCCAGTTCATGGGAAGGGGAGCTGGGTCTTGTACTGGGATAGAACACAGCTCCCAGCTCACGGAGGGGGCTTGTAGTGGGATAGAACACTCCATTCCCAGTTCTTGGGATGGGAGGTGGGGCTTGGACTGGGATAGAACACTCAGCTCCCAGTTCACGGTGCAGGGGGGGCTTGTTGTGGTATTGGGCTGGGAGAGAACACTCGGCTCCCAGTTCATGGGACGGGAGGGGCGGCTTGGATTGGGAGAGAACACTCAATTCCCAGTTCACAGCACGGAGAGCTGGGGCTGGGAGAGAACACTCAGCTCCCGGTTCACGGGACAGGAGGGGGGGCTTGGATTGGGAGAGAACACTCAATTCCCAGTTCACAGCACGGAGAGCTGGGGCTGGGAGAGAACACTCAGCTCCCAGTTCACAGGACAGGAGCTGGGGCTGGGACTGGGATACAACACTCAGCTCCCAGTTCATGGGAAGGGGAGCTGGGTCTTGTACTGGGATAGAACACAGCTCCCAGCTCACGGAGGGGGCTTGTAGTGGGATAGAACACTCCATTCCCAGTTCTTGGGATGGGAGGTGGGGCTTGGACTGGGATAGAACACTCAGCTCCCAGTTCACGGTGCAGGGGGGGCTTGTTGTGGTATTCCACTGTGCTGGGAAGGAGGGTGGGTGCTGGTGAGGCTGGGGCTGAAGTGCTGCAGTGGTCAGAGGGTTTGCTAGAGCTGCTCCCGTGGTTTGTGCTCCCGTTGCTCATGACAGCCTCTCTTGACTCCTGTGGGAAGGGCTGCAGGCCCAGCCGGAGTGCACAGCGCCCTGGAGGGTGGCTGTGGCTGTGGCAGGGTGGCCCTGGCACGGTGGCTGTGGCCCTGGCTGGGTGGCTGTGGCTGTGGCAGGGTGGCTGTGGCAGGGTGGCCATGGCCGCGGCAGGGTGGCCATGGCAGGGTGGCCGTGGCTATGGCAGGGTGGCCCTGGCAGGGTGGCCGTGGCGTGGCAGGGTGGCCGTAGCTATGGCAGGGTGGCCCTGGCAGGGTGGCCGTGGCAGGGTGGCTGTGCCATGGCAGAGTGGCCATAGCTATGGCATGGTGGCCCTGGCATGGTGGCGGGCGGCAGTGGCCGTGGCAGGGTGGCCGTGGCTGTGGCAGGGGGGCTGTGCCATGGCAGAGGGGCCATAGCTATGGCACGGTGGCCGTCGCTGTGGCAGGGTGGCTGTGCCCTGACAGGGTGGCCATAGCTATGGCACGGTGGCCGTCGCTGTGGCAGGGTGGCTGTGCCCTGGCAGGGTGGCCGTAGCTATGGCAGGGTGGCCCTGGCAGGGTGGCCGTGGCAGGGTGGCTGTGCCATGGCAGAGTGGCCATAGCTATGGCATGGTGGCCCTGGCATGGTGGCTGTGGCTGTGGCAAGGTGGCCGTGGCCCTGGCAGGGTGCTGCTGGTCCCGGGAGTGCTGGGCAAGGCTGGTCCGTGGGACTCTGTGGGTGCTGTGTCAGATGGCAGGGTGGCTGTGCCCTGGCAGGGTGGCCATAGCTATGGCACGGTGGCCGTGGCTGTGGCAGGGTGGCTGTAGCCATGGTAGGGTGCTGGTCCCCGGGGTGATGGGCAAGGCTGGTCCGTGGGACTCTGTGGGTGCTGTGTCAGCCCCTGAGCACCCGTGGGTGCTCCACTCTGCGGCGCTGGGTGAAGGGAGCACAGCAGAGAGCTGAGTGATCTCCCCCAGGAGAGAAAGCCTCCTGCTGCTCCCCAGCTCCAGTGGAGGGAGAGGATCCAGGGATCTGGGCTTGTCCTTCCTGCTGCTGGACATGCTCTGACCTCACTGCTGTGCCCCGTGAGGGTGGGGGACAGGGACAGGCTCCTGGAGACACGACATTGGCATTTCTGCCCAGCACCCCCGTCCCTGCATGTGCCAGGCTTCCCCGCGCTCTGCTGTGGCCAGAGCAGGTGCTGGGGAGGCAAAGGGACATCTTGGCAGTGCCACAGCCTCCTGAGCCATAAAATCCAGGGTGTGAGCTCACCGGTGGGTGGCTGTGAGTCAGCCTACCCACACAGGCCTGCCCGCAAGGCCCCGAGTAATTCCAGCCTCCGACAGGACGTAATTCCAGCCAGCCGTGCACTGCTAGCCCCTGGCTCCCTGCACACCTCCCCTGGCTGCTGCCCAGGAAAATCCTTCTGCCTGGAGTTACTCTGGGACCTGCTGTGGGGAAACTCTGATGCTGAGTGGTGCCTGGAGTACGATGCCCAGGCAGGAGCTGTCCCAGCTGCTTTGTTTTGTGCTTCCCACCCGGTGCTGTGCCAGCTGCGTGGCTCTGAGCGGCCTCCAGTACCTGGTCCTCGTGTGTCTGTCCATCCCCTGTCGTTCTACAGGAGCCAGGGCTGGGAGCAGCTCACCACAGGCTCTTCATTCCCCTCCTGGGTCTCAGGGTGGTCTCTGGAGTCCTTAAAAACATATAGAAGAATTCAGTTTTCAATGCAAGGGCAGCTCATCCCTTCCAAAGCAGGAGCAAAGTTGAAGGGGAATGCAGTGTTCAGGGGCATGGAGCTGGGCTAGTGCTCCCAGGGTCCAGCAGCTCTCCCCCATGAGAAAAGGGAGATTGTCACAGCTGGAAGCAGCATTGTTGAGTTCCACTGAAATGGGAGCATCAGTTGTTGCCGAGCACAGTGCACATTCCAGCTGTGCAAGGCCCCCCTCCTGCACTGCTGGAGGGGCTCAGTATGGCTGAGGAGCAGCTCTGGGCATGGCTGCTCCTCAGACCCTTCCTTGGGGCCCTGTGAGGAGCTCCAGGCTGTTTCCATCCCTGCAGACGTGGAGGATGGCAGTGAGGACAGAAAGTGTCAAATGCTTTTGTGCCTGGGGTGGGGGGTGCTGCTCCAGCTCCTGGAGCCATTCAAGCTCAGGGACATGGGGGTCATCACCCCTGCAGGCTGCAGACCATGCAGCACCCACCCTGCATCCCTGGCGTGGCCCAAAGCCCTCTGGAGCCTGCCATGGAGCATGGCACTGCCAGGATGGGGATTGTGGCAGTTGAGCTGGGGAAGCAGCAATTTCCTGTTGGGAAAAAAACCGAGCTCAGATGAAAACTTTGAAGCTGGGAAAGTGCTAATGAACCTGGCCTGCATTTCCTACTGCCTTGTCCAGGGTAGTCCAGGTGGTCCTCTCACACCTCCCTGCAGTGGGCAGCAGCTGAGAAGTCTCCCCAGCAGCTGGGAAAAGGGTGAGGGGTGGGATTCTGCCCCTCTGCTCCACTTTGGTGAGGTCCCTCTGCAGAGCTGCCTCCAGCTTGGGGGCTCCCCAGCACAGGAAAGGTGTGGAGATGCTTGAAGAAGTCAAGGAGGACACAGAGATGCTCCAAGGGCTGGAGCCAGGCTGGGGGAGCTGGGGATATTCAGCCTGTAAAACAAAAGGCTCTGGGGAAATCTGAGAGCCCCTTCCAGTGCCTAAAGGGGCTCCAAGGGAGCTGGAGAGGGACTTTGGATGAGGGTCTGGAGGTACAGGACAAGCGGGAATGGCTTTCACTGGCAGAGGGCAGGGTTAGATGGGATATTGGGAAGGCCCTGTGAGGGTGGGGAGGCCCTGGCACAGGTGCCCAGGGAAGCTGAGAGTGCCCCATCCCTGGAATTTTTCAAGGCCAGGTTGGACAGAGCTTGGAGCAACCTGGGACAGTGAATCAAAGGAACAAGATGGGTCCCATCCCCCCCAGCCATTCTG